AAAGTAGAGATTTCAAGCTTTAAAACCCTTTTTTAAAATTTGAATTTCATTCATTATTGACGAAGATATTGTATTATATATACAACTTTGAGCTAAAAAATACGCGATGACTTTTTACTACACCTAATATATATATCATTTTAAATGGAAAAATTTATCAGTACTTCAAACAACACAAACAAATCTTATGAAACTCAAGCCACATACCTAAAAACGACACAATGTATGTGTTGTTTTTCCGATGTAATTCATACACTATACTAGTTTCATTGAAGATACAAAAAATCTTCACGTAGATGGAATTTATATGAAGAAATAAAAAAAAATTGGATTTTAATTAGCGAAATATATTGGAAAAGTTCTCGCATGAAATATCATTTAAAAACACAAGATGGAGAATAATAGAATATAAATTTTTATAAATATGACTGTGCTGTGTTAAAAAGCATGTTTTATGTGAAGATAAGTTTTCTAAGAGATTTACGTCAAAATTATATAATATGATTTAATTTAAATAATTCACAAACTATATAAAATCTTAAACTATCGATCGGATTAATCGTAAATCAATCATTAATGAATAACGATTTTGCAATTTATATATGTATATGTATGTGTGTACATAAATTTGTATATGTATAGAGTGTTACATTTTAATCGCCCCAGGCGAATAACTCGAGAAGGAGACGTGGAATTAAAAAAAGTTTCAGACAAACACAGAAGTTATATGACTTCGGAGAGGGCACAAGATGGTACTATGAGTTTGACCTTGAATAACATTGTCAAGATCAAAGATCGAATTTTTTAAATGGAATCCTCCATTTGTCATTGCATTTTTTCGTAGCTTATTCAAACCTTATAACTTAAAAAGAATATAATAAAAAAATATTATAGTGTTTTTTTTAAAAAGCTCTCGAAGTATGCTACAAGAATATGCAATAAAAAATGGGCTGTTTCATTTAAAAAATTTAAAGTAACCTTGCTATGACCTTGACGTCATCCAAAGTTAAACCCATGGTACCATCTTGTGTCTCCCTTTAACTCACATAACTTTTGTCTGAAACTTGTTTTCAATCCCACATTTCGAATTATTCACCTGGGGTGATTAAAACAAAGCACCTTGTATATCAATTTAACACTGGTTAAATTGAATTGAAGTATAAAATTAAAATGTTTTCACGTTTATTTTTTATCGGCGTTTATTTTATATTTTATAAATTTATTCAAATGTTTAATTAATCTTTATTAATTAAAGAAAAATTCATAATTTGTGAAAGAAATTAATGAATTAAAAATCTAAAGCCTATTTTTAAGATTAAAATCTATTTTTAATATTATATTGCTTAAAAACAATCGCTAAGAAATTTTAGAGTAATTTATTATAAATTGTAACACACTAATCAAACTCCAATATATAATAAACATAAAATTGAATATTAATGTACATATATGTACATATAATGTACATATATTATGTACATATACGTAATTATATGTATCCACGCACGCGCACAACTCCGCTTATTAAAAATAAATTATTAAGATTGATAATAAATATTCATCAAGTTTCGTTTATATTATTTTTAAAAAATCATAAAAAATACACAATATATGTACGACGCAGACAAAACGAGTATTTAACTGGTATCCATACACGATTAATAATAATGTCAGTAGTTAACAAATACTGGCAATATTACTGATCATGTGTGGCTAACATTGATACATTGACGTAGGATACTAGGATGGTAATGTGAATTTTGATTCCCAACCATTAGAGCCTGCGCACAATAGAACAAATATTAAGAACAGAAATAAATATTAAGTTTTCAACCTACCAGATATCAGTTACATCGGAATACACGGGTTTCAGTAGGTCAAAATCTTAATATTTATTCCTATTCCTAATATTTCCTCCATTGTGCGCAGGGAATTAGTATTGCTGTATAGTGGGGATATTTTTTGATACAGTAATACTAAGTGTGTGAAGAGGGCGCGTCAGTATTTTCGTCAGTCTAACCCGTAATCAGGGTTGACATATATTAAACATAACGTATTATACATGGTTTTTATACCGTATACAGTAGAGTCTCTCTAAATTTGACTTCTGTAATCTTTACATTCCTCACACGTACTTTTACAAACACTAATGTCATGCCCCTTCCATGTCATGGTAGGCTGGACATATGTTGCGCACGCATCTGCACCTAATTGTACTAGATTCTCACAGTCTATGCAATGTAATTCCATAGGCAGGTTACGTATAACTATTTGTATAATGTATTCTTTTGTGATACATAATATGTGATATATATGTACATATGACTTGTTCTGCTAAGATTATGTACACTGTAGTACACTTTGACAGGTTAGCAAGCGCAATTGCATTCGCGCACGTACGCGGTGATTGGTAGACTCGTGCTTTAGAGAGGGTACTTTATAATTTTGTGTGGCATTCCACTCTTATCGCCCCATGAGCCAAATTTAGAGAGACTCTACTGTACGTATTATACGTAAGAAACTACTCGCAGCTCTAAATTGCCCAACCCTGTTCGTAATCTGGACAAAATAACCTTGAAAAATAGATACACTAAACCATCGTTTACGTTTCATTCTTTTTTTGTAAATAATGCTAATATATTATAGTAATACATGCTTTTTCTTTATTAAGATTCATGTCAGTATGTCACAGTACATTAGATAACGCAAAACTAAAATGAAATATTTTCGATAATACTGATCGTGCAAAGTTGTAAAAATATTGATACACAGTCAGTATTAGTGACCGCGTTAATATTATTGATCAGTATTATTGACCGTGTAGGATCGCCTTAAAGAGATATTGTTCTGCAATATCGACGAAACGCGTATTTCGTACTTTTCCATTTTTTCATTTTTCTTATACACAAATTATAGAATAAAAAAGTCCTTATAAAAAAGAATAAAAGAAAAAACACAAAAAGCTGCAGGAAACTACAAATATGAAAAAATATAAATTACAGATTCTTGCTACCACATAGATCATTTCTTTACATAACATAAATACGTGATTTCAAGTAGATATATATA